ATGTATGTATGTATGTATGTATGTATGTATGTACCTTGTATGGTTGTATGTATGTATGTATGTATGTATGTATGTATGTGTGTGTACTGTATCTCACACCTTCATTGGCTACCACACCTGGAGGGAAAATACGGGGGTGTGTTTACAAATGTACATCCAGGTATTAATTGTTTGCATCACCTTCATATTTTTGTTTACACCTCAGTTTGTTTGTTTGTTTGTCTCACCGTAATTAACTGTGGCGAAGGTAAGATTGTTTGTGTCTGTTTGTTGCTTTTAGTTGGTGTTTATTTGTTTGTTTGTTTACGTTTAATTGGGAAAGAGATTTTGTGTTTGGAAGTTGTTGTTGTTGTTGTTGTTATTGTTGTTGTGGTTGTTGTTGTTGTGGTTGTTGTTGTTGTTGTTATGGTTGTTGTTGTGGTGGTTGTTGTTGTTGTGGTTGTTGTTCTTGTGGTTGTTGTTGTTGTTATGGTTGTTGTTGTGGTTGTGATTTGTTGTTGTGGTGGTTGTTGTGGTGGTTGTTGTTGTAATTGGTTGTTGTTGTGGTTGTGATTGTTGTTGTGGTGGTTGTTGTTGTGGTGGTTGTTGTTGTGGTGGTTGTTGCTGTTGTTATGGTTGTTGTTGTGGTGGTTGTTGTTGTGGTGGTTGTTGTTGTGGTTGTTGTTGTTATGGTTGTTGTTGTAGTTTGTGATTGTTGTTGTGGTGGTTGTTGTGGTGGTTGTTGTTGTGGTGGTTGTTGCTGTTGTTAGCGGTTTGTTGTTGTGGTGGTTGTTGTTGTGGTGGTTGTTGTTGTGGTTGTTGTTGTGAAGTTTGTGATTGTTGTTGTGGTGGTTGTTGTTGTGGTGGTTGTTGTTGTTGTGGTTGTTGTTGTGGTTGTTGTTGTTATGGTGGTTGTTGTTGTTGTTGTTGTGGTTGTGATTGTTGTTGTGGTGGTTGTTGTTGTTGTGGTTGTTGTTCTTGTGGCTGTTGTTGTTGTTATTTATGGTTGTGACTGTTGTTGTGGTGGTTGTTGTGGTGGTTGTTGTTGTGGTGGTTGTTGTTGTGGTTGTTGTTGTGGTTGTTGTTGTTGTGGTTGTTGTTGTTGTGGTTGTTCTTTACACTCATGACTGTTTCATGGGGAGACTGGCGTGGCGGGAAGACTGTTTACATTGGTTGTTTTGGTGGGACGAGTGTTCACATTGGCGGGAAGACTGTTTACATTGGTTGTTTTGGTGGGACGAGTGTTTACGTTGGTTGTTTTGGTGGGAAGAGTGTTTACATTGGCGGGAAGACTGTTTACATTGGTTGTTTTGGTGGGACGAGTGTTTACGTTGGTTGTTTTGGTGGGAAGAGTGTTTACATTGGCGGGAAGACTGTTTACATTGGTTGTTTTGGCGGGAAGACAAAGAGGGAATTTGTCCACTGCCTTACCTTGATGGTCAGTAACAGCTGGGATCACTGTACTGTATTAAAAACGGCTGTTCTTATTATGAGTCGCCTTCACCGTGTGTGTGTGTGTGTGTGTGTGTGTGTCGCGCCTTCACGGGTGGTCACGGCGCGGCGGCCAGACGAGTGTTTACAAATAGGAGCCGTTTTGTCTTACCTTCATGGGCTGGAGACCCTTAGGCTGGACCAGGTAGATCCCGCTGGTCCAGTTGCCTCGCTGCATCACCTCGGTACAGTCGATGGGCAGCGGGGGGTCGGTGGCGCTGGGGGGGTCCACCACCAGTTCGGGGATGAGGTTGTCGGTGGCCTCGGGGTCTTCCTCGGCCGTCGACTCCTTGGACTCCTGGTGGAGGTTCTTGGCGGCCTCGTGGGTCTCGGCCGCCAGCACGGACTTGGTGGTGACCTCGACGCTGGCGGTAGACTCGTGGTTCTTGCGATTGCGGCCGTGCTGGTTCTTGTGGTTAGGTGGGTGAGGGTGGGTGAGGTTGTGTTTACGGGTGTGGTTGTGGAGGCGAGTGATGTTGATGCCGCTGAGACTCATGGCGTGTAGGATGCGCTGGTGGTCCCGCTGGAGAGACTTGAGGCCGTCCTTGATCTTACGGTTGTGGGAGTTCCGCTTGAGACCTTTGGACATCTTGCGGACCTTCTTCTTGATGTGTTGGTTGTTCTCACCCATGTCCTTCACGGCCGTGGTGATCTGGGCGACGGCCTGCGCCAGGCGCTCGTGTTCGTCCCTCGCCTCCTGCATGGATGACGCCACCTCCCTCAGCTTGTCCAGGAGGCGGCTCACCTCCTCCAGGACGTCCCCAGCTGTGGCTTTGGAGGTGACAGAGAGAGCCAGCGTGTCGGCCGTGGTCACACCATCCACGGTGTCGTTGTCATCCTGCAGGGTGGTGGTGGGCGTGGTGGAGAGGGGTGGGGTCGTGGGCGTGGACCTTTGGGTGGTGGAGGCGTGGCAGCACCCCAGCACCACCACCAACGCCAGCAGGAAAGTGGCGTGTGAGAAAGAGCGCTGCATCCCACCGTGCGCTGTCCTCTGCACCCGTATACTGAAGCTGCTGCTGCTGCCTGCCTGGCTGCTCCCTCACAACCCCCCCTGCCCTCCCTCCTCCTTCCCCCCGCCCGCCCGCCCACACCACGCACGCCCACTCGCACAACAATACCCACAACCCACCTAGAATACCTACACCCAGAATACATCAAAAGGAGCTTAGAAACTAGCCAGTGACGAACACCTACCCGACGAAGGGACGACACTCAGGCCCCCTAAGTCGTGTCACGCCGGCCAGGGATCCGAACGCTCTTCACCAGATCAATACCAGGATGCTAGAGGCGGATCTTGCGTTTGTGTGCGCCAAGTTTTGTATTGCGTGTCGGCGTCCACATATTACACGCTCTCTACAACGCTTCCTGTACACCACCTGACACTGAGGGGGACCTGCATAGTGTAGTTAGGTCGTTAAGGGAGCGAGGCCGTGACGGGAGGACAGCAAGGCGTGAGGACTGTATGTGTGTGTGTGTGTGTGTGTGTGTGTGTGTGTGTGTGTGTGTGTGTGTTTACAACAGGCCGTCAGCACACACTTGCATAAAGTGCCATTTATCACGTCAAAAGAAGCGCCCCCTCTCTCCCTTACCCCTGAGATAACCTCCTCCCTCACCCCCACCCCTGAGATAACCTCCTCCCTCACCCCCACCGCCTGAGATCTCCTCCCTCACCCCTCCTACCCCTGAGATCTCCTCCCTCACCCCCACCACTGAGATAACTTTACCCCCAGAGATAAGTTCTTCCAGGAAATAATATCGCCAACTCAAGCAGGCCATTAGGAGCTCTCCACAATTACTGAGCGTCGCTTTGAGTTCGCCGCTGAAGGAGGGGGGGTGGGGGTGGTGGGGGGGGTAGGGAAGGGTGGACAGGGAGGGAAAGTCAAGGGGGGAGAGTCGAGGTGGGTGGATCGAGAATAAGGATAAGGTAGGTATGAGGGAAGAAGAAACGATAATGGGGGTTTGGTAGAGAAAGATAAGGGAGATAAGTAAGAAGGAGGGAGGGAAAAGGGAGAGAAAGGTAAGGGTAATAAAGGGAGGGAAAGGAGAGGTAATGGTAGGGGAGTGATGCAGGAGGAGGAGGAGGGGGGAGAGGAAGGAAAGAAAGAGATTGATGATGATGGGAGACATTGTAGAGGGAAGAGAGAGAGAGAGAGAGAGAGAGAGAGAGAGAGAGAGAGAGAGAGAGAGAGAGAGGAAAGAGGTGTGTGTGAAATGATAGCATAAAGGATAATGAGATGGAAGGGAGGAAGGATAGAGAAGGAAGGAAGTGAGGGAGGGAAGGTAAGGCGGGACAGAAGGAACAATAGCAACACAAGTCATAAACCTAGGGAGCATCACCATAATATTTAATAACTAGATCTACCTCCTCCCTACCTCCTCCCCTCCTCCCTCCCTCCCTCCCTCCCTCCCTCCCCTCCCCTCCCCCTCCTCCCCCCTACTCCTCCCTCCTCCCTCCCTCCCTCCCTCCCTCCCTCCCTCCCCTCCCTCCCCTCCCTCCCTACCTCCTCCTCCCTCCTCCCCTCCTCCCTATCACCCCCCCCTCTCCCCTCCCTCCCTCTCCTCCCTCCCCTACTCCCTCCCTCCCCTCCCTCCCTCCCTCCCCTCCCTCTCCTCCTCCCTATCTCCTCCCTCCCTCTCCTCCCTCCTCCCTCCTCCTCCCTCCTCCTCCTCCTCCCTCCTATCTCCCTCCCTATCTCCTCCTCCTCCCTCCCTCTTCCCCATTCCCTCCGTCCTCCCTCCTCCCTCATTCTCCCTCCTCCCTCCCTCCCTCCCTCCCCAGCTCTTCCTCCCTCCCTCCTTATCTCTCCTCCTCTCTCACCTCCTCCTCCTCCCTCTCTCCTCCCTCCCTCCCTCCTATCTCTCCTTCCTCTCTCCCTCCTCCTATTCTCCTGTCTCCTCCCTCCCTTCCCTCCTCCTCCCTCCCTCCCTACCTCCTCCTCCCTATCACAGTGCTATTACTCCTTCTTCTTTCATACATTTATCACACATTTCTTTCTTCCTTTATCCCGCCCTCTCTCTTTTCCTTCTTTCTTTCTTTTTCTTTCTCTCTCTCTCTCTCAATGTTTTGTATACATGCAGGTGTGTGTGTGTGTGTGTGTGTGTGTGTGTGTGTGTACCTAAGAATAAGATCCTAGAGAAGGAAGTTGAGAGAGAGAGAGAGAGAGAGAGAGAGAGAGAGAGAGAGAGAGAGAGGATACATCATGGAGAATGATGGAAGAGAGGGGAAGATCACAAAGGAGATAGCTGATTGAAGAGAAGGATAGAACACGCCTAATTGTGTGTGTGTGTGTGTGTGTGTGTGTGTGTGAGACATCAGCAGTCCACACAATGCTTATTTATTCACACACACACACACACACACACACACACACACACACACACACACACACACACACACACACACACACACACACACACACACACACACACACACACCAGACGCCAGCCGTGTCTTTTTTTAGCGAGAAAATAACACACATTCCTAAACTGTCTCCTTCAGTGTGTGTGTGTGGAGGAAGGAGAGAAGGAGAGACACAAGAAGGAGGAAGAGAAGACGAAAGGAGATGAGAGAGACAGACAGACAGACAGACAGACAGACAGACAGACAGACAGACAGACAGACACCTACCGTCTCCACAAATGTCAAAACACTAATCTGTTTACCCAAAAAATTCTTCAACGTTGAGGTGGGATGGTGGGGGTGGTGGGGGGAGGGGGTGAGAGGTGGGGGGGGTGACCTCTGACCTTTGACCCGCCTCTGACGTTGGTAACATCAAATAAAATACCTGAGATAATAAAGGTGTGGAGGGTTAGGTTAGGTTTTTGGTTAGGTTAGGCTATAAAATTGACGATAGTTGAGCACCTGTTCAATTTTTCTGGCTGTAAGGTGAGCTAGGACAGGTGAGTATCCCTAATTAACACACACACACACACACAGACACACACACACACACACACACACAGACACACACACACACACACATGTTTATGCTCTCTATATATACAGTATAACAGTGAGTTTATATTATGTGTTTATACTCTACATTAATTTGGTGTAATGTTTATATATCTACATAAAATTGTCTTTGTTTGGTTGTTTGTTTGTTTGTTTTTGTTTGTTTGTTGTTTTTGATTTATGTTTTTGTTTGTTTGTTTATGTTCGTTTGTTTATGTATGTTCGTTTGTTTGTATAAGTTACTGTTTTTAATTTATATTTTTAAAGTGAATTTTTTGTTCTCATTTTTTTCAGTGAATGTTTACGAATGTTGAAGAAGACGATATTTACACATTTACGTTATAGAAGGGATGTTGTTTACAGTGGGTGAATGTTTACTGATTTACAGCCGTCGTGTTTACCTAGGGTGAATGTTTTATCGGCTGTGTTTATTTTACGGTGAATATTTTTAAAAGGTTTTACTGTTATGTTTGGTGAGAATGTTTAAGAATGTTGAGTGAGGGAGACAGTAAGTAAGGTGAATGTTTTTAATGTTAGTGAGAATGTTGACGGGACGAGGGTGAGAATGTTGTTGAATGTTGAAGAATGTTGAGTGAATGTTGACGGGGCGTGAGTAATGTGATTGAATGTTGAAAAATGTTGAGTGAATGTTGACGGGGAGGGAGTAAGGCTCATGTCTCATAAATTCTCTTCTCCCTTAAGGAATTTCCTCTCCAGCCTTGTCTCATGCTGGGTATAACATGTGGAGGGAGGGAGGTTGGTGGAGGGAGGGGAGGAGGAGGGGTAGTGGAGGAGGGGAGGGTTGGTGGAGGGGTAGGGGAGGGAGGGGTGGTGGAGGGTAGGGAGGAGGGGAGGGTTGGGGGGTAGGGGAGGGAGGGGAGGGCTGGGAGGGTAGTGGAGGGAGGGAAGGGTGGTGGAGGGGTAGTGAGGGAGGGAGGGTGGTGGAGGGGTAGTGGAGGGAGGGAAGGGTGGTGGAGGGGTAGTGGGGAGGGAGGGAAGGGTGGTGGGAGGGGTAGTGGAGGGAGGGGAGGGTTGGTGGAGGGGTAGGGATGGAGGGAAGGGTGGGTGGTGGAGGGGGGAGGGAGGGGAGGGTGTGGAGGGGTAGTGGAGGGAGGGAAGGGTGGGGAGGGGTAGGGGAGGGAGGGAAGGGTGGAGGGGTAGGGAGGGAGGGGGGGAGGTTGGTGGAGGGGTAGGGATGGAGGGAAGGGGTGGAGGGGTAGTGGAGGGAGGGAGGATGGTGGAGGGGTAGGGAGGAGGGGAGGTTGGTGGAGGGGTGGTGGAGGGAGGGGAGGGTTGGTGGAGGGGTAGTGGAGGGAGGGAGGGGGTGAGGGGTGGAGGGCAGTGGCGTATGATGGAGTAGAGTGGAGAGTAATTGTGTTCAGTGGAGGGTACTGGGAGAGTGGAGGGTAATAAGTAAGGAGGGCTATCATAATGGAGGGAAGGAGGGTAATTGTGTAATGGAGGGTTAAATATTGGAGGAAGTGGTTTGGTATTGGTGAAGGCAAGGAGAGAGAGAGAGAGAGAGAGAGAGGCCAAGGAGTGAGGTGATAGGTGGAGTTACTTAAGGGAAAGCTCTTGTAAACCTGACTTACTGCTGGGGGTGAGAGGGAGGATGGGGTAGGAGGGAAGGGAGAATATCTTACGTGTAATTTGTAAACACAGCTAAAAGAGAGAGAGAGAGAGAGAGAGAGAGAGAGAGAGAGAGAGAGAGAGAGGTTAAGAATGTAGGGACACTTGTAGGTGATGGGGAAACCCATCTCAGCGGATACCTCAGTATAGTTACTCACCTGTGCGTGGTTACTCACCTGTGCATAGTTACTCACCTGTGCGTAGTTACTCACCTGTGCGTAGTTACCACCTGTGCGTGGTTACTCACCTGTGCGTGGTTACTACCGTGCGTAGTTATCACCTGTGCGTGGTTACTCACCTGTGCGTAGTTACTCACTTGTGAGTGGTTACCACCTGTGCGTCGTTGCCCTGGTTGTGATGACTGTAAGGTCGGGGTCCACCAGCCATGGGCAAAAGGTTAGACGACCAACATTAAAGTGCATCAGCCAGCCACCCTGCCACCCGCC